TTAATTAAAATAAATTTATTTCATTATAATAATATAATGAATAAATATTCGCTAGAATAAATAAAATAAATGAAAAAAAGTATAATAGGCAGGGATCGAACCCAGGTCGACAGCGTGATAGTCCAGAGCCCAAGTGCCCGAGCTACGCCGCCATCTTGACAATCGATCCAACAGGACCGGAATATAAGGGACGCCATGAATTTCACATTGATTTTTCTCGAAAATGGCTGAGCGTTGCGCCCGATCCTTTTACTAAAGTACTCTTCTGATAGAGTACTATACCATATAAAAATTTCTTTGAAATCGGTGACCCGAAGTCCGCGTCCTCCTCTTGTAAGCTAGGAATGCATAATTCTAATATTAAGGATAATGAATTGCGGCAATTGAGAGCATATGTATCTGCACTCAATAGCAAACATAAGGAGAAATGGAATAGCGTGAAGAGAACAAAAACAAAGTATGAGTCAAAACATAAAAACTGGTTGGACTCTGTTTTTGCTATTCCTAAAATTTCAATAAAAAAAGCGGATTCTTCCACAGTTGTTGGTCGGCCATCTATTCCATTTCACGAGAAGTCTGATCGATCAAAAAGGCTAGAAGTGGCAGCTATTAGTAAGAAATATAATAACGATCCACTGAAACTAATAATGACATGCAGCAAGGATTTTCAGGACAAAAAAATATAGTTGCAGTTGTAAAAGAAGTTTTGAAAAATCCTCAAAATGCACAAAAAATGATTAGTGAGCCAAGACCAGTTATCATTAAGATGACTCCTCTAGAAGGATTGACGTACTTGTTAGATCGAAATATGTCCAAAGACGATTACATTAGTATGCGTTTAATTGTAAAAGCAAGAGGGGCGGATATTTTTCCAACATATGCTGCAATTGCAGCTGCAAAGGCAGAATGTAGACCACCAAAAGAAGTTTTTAAAATTACAGATACTGTGGCAGAAGTTCTTTTGCAATCTCTATTAAACCATACGACAGAAAGAATTGTAAAACTACAAAAAGATGTAATCATTAGGAGCATGGAAAATAGTAAGACGGCAGAACTTGAAGTCGTTTTAATTTGTTCATGGAGATTTGATGGAAGTTCTGGGCATTCAGCGTATAAACAACGGTATTCAGATATTAGTGTGAGCAATATTAACGATAAAAATATTTTTGCTACTACACTTATACCGTTACGTTTATCAACTTCGTCAAACATTATATTGAGGAATAATAGAGCCTCACAATCTGCAAAATTTTGTCGCCCTATCAATATTCAATATTGCGCCGAATCAAAAGATGTTATTTTGAATCAAAAGCAATGTATTGAAAATCAAATTGATAAACTGGAAGCGTTAGAAATCATATTAAACAGTTTAAAAATTAGAATTCATTTTTCATTGTTCATGACTTTAATAGATGGAAAAGTTTTGAATATAATAACAGGTACGAAGTCGATGCAATCTTGCCCCATCTGTCAAGCAACCCCAAAGCAATTTAATGATCTTGCAAACATTAAATGTGAAACAGAAATCTTTTTACCTAATCCAAAGTCACTGCAATACACTGGAATTAGTCTTTTGCATTGTTGGATTTGATTTTTGGAGTGCTGTCTGCATATCTCGTACAGACTTAACGTTAAAGTATGGCAGATAAGAGGACAAGATGCTAAAGATAAATATGCGAGACGAAAAAAAGAGATTCAAACGATTCTTTGGAATAAATTACAATTAAAAGTAGATAAGCAAAAAGCAGGAGAAAGTGGTACAAGCAACGATGGTAACACTGCTCGTAGGGCATTTAAAAATCCCAAACTGTTTTCTGAAGTCTTGGACTAGACTATACTTTTGTTTTTAATTTAAAAACCATTTTAATTGCTTTGTCTTGCAAGTTTCCGATCAATAGCGTTCTTTTTAACAAACTATGCCTCGACACGGCTAGAATTTACGTATCTCATTACTCATGGTATCCCATGCCATCATCGCTCTATAAAGTTCTTATTCACGGTGCTCAGATAATTGAAAATAGCATATTACCAGTGGGGATGCTTGGCGAAGAAGCTTCCAAAGCCCGGAATAAGCATTACAAATCATATAGAAATGAACATTGTAGAAAACACGATCGTTCAGCAAATTTAAGTGATATGTTTTGTAGATTAATGGACACATCGGATCCTATTGTATCTTCTTCTAGTCTTGAGCTGCGAATTCGAAAAAATAAAATATTACAACTTCCCACAGAAGTCCAAAATCTACTTATTGTACCTGAAATAAATACAAGTGTAAATACAGATCATGACGAAAAGGAAGAAGAAGACTTAACTGAACTTCCAGAAATATTCTCATCCTTGAACAAAGTTGTGTTATCAGATGAAGAAGTTGAGCATTAAAACGTATTTTTATAAAATATTTAAAAAAAGTTTAATGAGTTCCATTAGGATAGGTTGTAAATAAATATAATTAAAATTACTGTAAATAAATGTACATAGCATAAGTAATTCAGCCACACACACACATACACTAGTGATGTGCCGGTCCAAGTCCGGATATGATGAGGAGAGAAATTGCATTCAATTTTAATATTCATTTACTATTTTTTTCTTGTATTTTATTTCTGTATTCTTTTCTTGTATACTATTTTCTAGATCGTTTAGGTGTAGTTAAGTTATAATTAGTAGTAGTAGTAGTAGTAGTGTCTTTATTTTCCCCTTGGGGTTAATCCTCAATACACATTTACTTAAACCTAACTTATAACTATCCTTACAATTATTCTTAACTCTAACCTTATTACTAAACCTACTTAAGACTATCCTTAAAATTATCTTATACTACTCCTGCCCTTATCCTCCCGACTGCGAGATCCGGGTCTAGACGCCCTGCCGTCCAACATGCTTTCATCCGGCTGCGCCCTTTCCCTTTCCCTTCTACCTATACACACACACACACGCTCGCAAAGGTGACTTCCGTTTCCTCTCGCCTTTCTTATCTCCATCTTTTATTCCCGTTCCTTCCCC